TTTTTCAGACAGGGTCTCACTCTATCATCACCCCGGCTAGAGTGCAGTGGTGAGATCTTGGCTCACTACAGCCTCAACTTCCCAAGCTCAGGTGATCCTCCCACTTCAGCCTCCCAAGTAGCTGGAATTATAGGCACGCTCCACCATGCCTGGCTAATTTTTTGTATTTTTTTGCAGAGTCGGTGTTTGCCATGTTGCCCAAGATGGTCAACATGGGCTCAAGTGATCCTCCAACCTTGGCCTCTCAAAGTGCTAGAATTATAGGTGTGAGCCACCTTGCCCTGCCATTTCTGGGTGAATTGATAAGCTAATTGGCCATAGCTGACCTAGAGTCAGACACCTCTGTATAAGAGCCTCATGCTTGGGACTTACTTGCATGGCTTCCAAGACTGCAAATCTATACCCTTCCTTTTTGAGCTGTTCTTAGCACTCTATTCATCCTTTTTGTTTCTCCCTGAAGGGCCATGCCTTACCTGTTGATTCTAAAATTCAAAGAGATATGAAAAATAATATATCAGAGAATATATTTTACTTTCTCTTTCTTTGCTTTTTTGTTGAGATGGGGTCTTGCTGTGTTCCGTAGGCTAGTCTCAAACTCGTGGGCTCAAGAAGTCCTCCAGCCTTAACTGCCTGAGTAGCCAGGACTACAGGCACCCACCACTGCACCCAACCTAGAATATATTTTAGTTTATTTTCTAATTAAAAGCAAGGAAAACTTCTTTGTTTTATTATGTATTCATCATCTCCAATTGATGTCTTTTGGCTCGTAGTTCTAACTGTACCTGCTGGTCAGGTTGCAGAGGAGACTGTAATTGAAGAGGAAGTAGAAGAGAAGTTGCCACTAACAAAGAAACCAAGGATAGAAGACATGACAAACAGTGTGGAGGAAAGCAAGGTAATGTTTTTAGGAGTGACAAAAAGAATTAAAAGCCATAAATCTTAAGGCCTGAACCCTTCTTCATCTTTTTTTTTTTCCTTTTGAGACAGAGTCTCACTCTGTTGCCCAAGCTGGAATACAGTGGCATGATCTCAGCTCACTGTAACCTCTGCATCCCAGGCTGAAGCACTTCTCCTACCTCAGCCTCCTAAGTAGCTGGGATTACAGGCAACTGCCACCACGCCTGGCTAATTTTTGTATTTTTATTAGAGACGGGGTTTCACTATGTTCGCCAAACTGATCTGAAAACTCCTGACCTCAGGTAATACATCTGCCTCCACTTCCCAAAGTGCTGGGATATAGGTGTGAGCCACTGCGCCTGGCCCATCTTTCTATCTACCGCCTGCATAATTTATGATCAGGAATTTACCTGGTGGTGACATGGCTTACTTTGACAGGAAGGCAATGAAAGAGAGCTACTACAGCAACAACTCCAGGAGGCCAATCGAAGAGCCCAGGAGTACCGACACCAGCTGCTACAGAAAGAGCAGGAAGCAGAACAGTACCGTCTCAAGCTGGAGGCCATAGCCCGACAGCAGCGCAATGGAGTTGATTTCACCATGGTTGAAGAGGTGTCTGAGGTACATGCTGCAGTCATCACAGAGGGGGAGTTGAAAGAGAAAGAGACAAAAGTGACTGGGTCAGCAGGGACCAAAGAGCCTCACACTGGAGTTTCCATGGAAACTACTTCACCTTAATATGCAAGGGCCACAATTTGCACTGCGTTCATAATATTCCTCTTTTAAAAAAAGAAAACATATAGACGACAAACATTGTACAAAAAAATTAAGTGTCTTTAAGAAGAAAACTATAGCAGGATACAATGCTTGGGCTCAGGAAGGTTCTCTGTGCAACTGGAAAATTCAAAGCCATATTTAGGGAACATTTCTTCCAAGGGGCCAAAAGAATATGGACCAAATGTCTTAGATCACATCATTGCGTTAAGCATAGAGGTGAAAGAATACTGGCTGGGCGCTGTGGCACACGCCTGTAATCCCAGCAATTTGGGAGGCTGAGGTGGGCGGATCACGAGGTCAGATCTCACTGCAACCTCTGCTTCCCGGGTTCAAAAGATTCTCCTGCCTCAGCCTCCCGAGTAGCTGAGATTACAGGCATGTGCCACGAGGCCCAGCTAATTTTGTATTTTTAGTAGAGATGAGGTTTCTCCACATGGTTAGTCTGGTCTCAAACTCCCGACCTCAGGCCTCCCAAAGTGCTGGGATTACAAACGTGAGCCACCGTGCCTGGCCTAGACTCTAATTTTATAAAACTTTTTTGAATTTTCTAAGTGTCATTTAGGATGTATTATGCTTTTCTGTGGCACTTACATCTTACCCTCTTTTGTGCAAATAAAAGGTGGGTTGGAGGTAAATCCTGATGTTGTTTAGTTTTATTTCCATTTGATCTGGCATGAGGAAATTGCTCTGTTTCCTTAAGCTGGGGTCTAGTACAGAGCTTTGTGCCTTATAGGGTGCTCAGTGTGTGTTGACAAAGGGAATAAGAACTATCAGTGCCATAAAATAAAGAACCAAAGATTGTGGCTACTTTGTTTTCCTCCTTTCTCTCCCACTGTGCCTACACTTCCTCTGCCCAGATGCTTTTGGAAAGTGTTTAACCTGCTGGGTTTTCTTTGTATGTCAGCATGGAGGCATGGAGTTTTTCCCAAAGAAATGGAATATGGATGGAGAGAGAGAGGTTATGGACAGGTTATATTACAGAAGTTATTGCCTTTGAAACTGGGCCTTTATCATTCTAGACTTGCTTGCTTTGTTATAAATTAAAAGAAGAAACCAGTGGGAGATATGCCAAGTAAACATTTGCATGACTGTTTAGAATATGATTTTCTTAATTAGCAATCACGGGGAAAACATGCGTTTTTCATTTGGAAAAAATACTGACAGTTAACATGGTTCTGTTATCTTGATTAGTGAAATAATTTGCTGCAGTGTTCCAGAGGAGCAGAATCATTTGGGTCTCAAAATAGACTGAAAACTTAACTCCCCAAACCAAATTTAACAAATAGAATTGGTTATTAGAGATTTAGAGGCGAAAATATCAGTTTGGAAATTAATCTTGGCTACTGGCCACCTTAGCTAGGTTTTCTCCATGGATCTGAGTACTGAACACTTCCCAGATGATCGGAGAATATTCTGGGCTGTTGAGGATGACAGGGAAATGTAAGGGGGAGTAGCCTAGGTAAGGGTGATGATGAATTTGTTCTGTCTGATGTGAAATAATCTTTTCCTCTTCGCAATGTTTTTATTTTTTCTGAGTCCCTTTGGGAACCAGGTGCTAACAAGAAGCTGTTAGGTGCGGGATTTCAGAGCCTTACTTTAACGATAAAGGAACCAAGTCTCATTTTAGATGTGTTTTATTTATGTTCTTGGTGTATATGTTGACTTTAATCCCTCTTCCCTCCACCCCACCCATTAAGGGGCAGGAGGTTAATTCTGCAGATGATATTCAGGCCAAACCAGAGACTTAGTTAGTATACAGTCACCACTGTTTGGGGGGAA